GGATTATCTGACAGTAATCTAGTGAGACTCCCCATGGGGATAGATCGATCCAAAATCTATGGGAATGCGCCCTAAGTGAACGGGAGTCAAAGCTGTACCATTCTAATATGATCAGCTTCATACAATATCTAGCTAATGTTACCAATGGATTCACAAGTTTTAATTATTTATGCAGAGAGTTATGCAGACATTTCTTGGCTTTCTCAGTTTCCAATGTGCCCATAAAATATGACCAGTGTTTTTCCAAAACCATTGGAAGGCTCACCACATGGACACTTTTATTTATCCGTAACATTAATAATAGAATTAAACATCATTCACCTCTGGCATAAGTCGGAATTTAAGTAGATGTTCATAATAAGGCATATTGGTTTCGATACATTTTTGTATGTCCTGTGGCAGTTCCTTAACCATGGTGTGGCCTATTTCTTCTTGTTTCTTAAACCCTGAGCTCTTCAGAAGGGTGTCATACCACCCTGGCCACCGATGCCAATGTGTTTTATCTGGCACAGCACCGGAGTCCCACTCTAGCATCTCTTTGTGAAAGGTTAATCCTGTTCTTCTGCAGTATTGTCGGATGATGGCATCTAAATAAAAAATTTAAGATCCTCCAGTTTTATTTCTTATTTGTTTTCATACAAACCCATTATATACTCTATTATTTCAAATTTCACTATCAAACAAATCCCATAAAATACTTCGTGAGTATTGTTAATTTCATGACAATTAAACGGTTTTATCAGTGTTTATAGAAATTGTTAAATACCTTTGATATCAAAAAATTACAAACTTAAATTTAAAAAAAGGCTACAAACCTGGATTTTGTAACAGATCATCTGCATCAATGAGTACTGGCACACTGCCACTTTCCTCTAGAATAAGGTGAAAAAGTTGATGCAAAGGTTTATAGCTTGCTTCCAGTGTGTCGAATTCTTTAGTTGCTGTAAAAGATACATAGATAATTAACCCCCATTTACAAAGGCTCATAACTTGTTTCAAGTGTGTCAAACTGCATAACTCACTATTCCAGTCATATACATCAGCCCTCAAGTTTGAAGACAACAGATCAACTTAACTCGAATTGTGTTATCTGTATTGTATATATGCTTTAAGAAAGCTGCATTACTGTTGAAAAGGGTCCTATCAAACTTATTTTTGAACTCGAACTTTTATGGAGATTCACCAGTACTTTAGTTTTTTAATGTTAATTTTTGACACATTGGCATTTTCAAGGTGTGACTTTGAACTACCATGGACCTACGATGTTACCTGCAGCGCATAATTAAAGATTGGTGGTGATTATGCTTCTGAGCATTATGTAATATTGCAACTAAGTTGAAGAAAGCCCTATTTTGGTCACTCACACCAAAAGGCCAGTAAAGGGAATCCATGTCACTAATTATTCTCAAACTGCCGGAAAAAAATTTTCAAAATAGTTATTTTGTCAATTGTGATGCCTTTTGTCTGTACATTCGACAGCTTTGCTGCCTCATTCCTTATAAAATTTGATAGTCATTAAAGAATTTAGCAAAGAAAAACTGGTTAAGTATTATCTCTTCATGCACTGATGATTTATCAAAATTAAGCATGCTGACAAATTTAGAACTGACAATACTGAATAACTAAAATTAGCGGTAAAAAACAGAAGATATCAATTATAAGATTCTAACTAAACCCTTGACTGCGTTTCTCACCATTCCGTTCATCCGTGAGACAGTTATATAAAGAAGGCACAGATTTGGCTGGGCTTCGAATGAGAAATGTGTGCTGATAGCCCCTCGGGATGTAGTCAAGTGATTGGAGTCTGTCCACCAAATACACTGCCATCTCTTTCCCGAACACTAGTTCGGCTCCTGTAATATGAAATATGCATTTGAGGGAGTAGGCCCCACTGGCCAGGAAGCGCAACCTGTATTTTACAGTAATTTTGCCACGTTCCGAGAGAGGCCCGAGAGATTTATTGGTTTATTATAATAAAGTTTTCTGTTAACCATTATCAATACGGATTTTTGTCTGAAACATACTTTTATTACAATTATTATTCTAATAATAGTTTGGGTCTTAGACGTTCCAGTGGACACGACTGATCCGTGTTTCTTACAGTCATATGAAGTGCAAAGTCCAAATATGCTTAATCCTTGTGTTCCACTTTTGTTCGCCATTTTTATTATATTAAAACAAACAAACATGTTTTTCAGTCCAGACTCCGCCGATGTGGAATGCAAACTACAGGATATTGGTCTTTTTTCTCAATTTCAAAGAGACGTTTCACTCACAAATCTTAGTTACACTTTCACATGAGTGTTCCTTCCACATTAGAACTTTTAAAACACTTCGGTCTCAATTAAGTTTTATTTCTATAAACTAACAGTATTTAACGCACGCTCTCTGGTATTTCATGTCTCCTGACACGGCGTGTTTTAACACTTAACTATTAAAATAGTAAGATACGTAGAGAAAATCTGAATAGTCAGATGTAGTGTTGAGTATACGATGTAGAAATGCCCAGCGGGCAAATCAACATTGAATCAATGTTGAATCAACGTTGATGGTCAACGTTGAAACTATGTTGATATGACGTT